CGTCTTTATCAGTGACCAAAATAGTCAGATTAAATGCACTTTCAGCAAGTTTGCTGATGACTGAGCTGAGTGGTGCAGTTGATATAAGGAAGGGATGCCATGCAGAGGGACCTGGACAGGCTTGAAAAGCAGGCCCATGTTAACCTAATGAGGTTTGACAAGGCCAAGTGCAACATGTTGCATCTTGGTCAAGGCAGTCCCAGATACGTGTGCAGACTGGGAGATGAACTCCTTGAGAGTAGCCCTGTGGGGAAGGACTTGGAGGTCCTGAGGGATGAAAAACTGAACATGAGCCAGCAGTGTGTGTTTGCAGCCCAGAAGGGCACTGGCTGCATGAAAAGACGGGTGGCAGCAGGGCAACAGAGATGATCATTCCCCTCTGCTCTGCCCTCATGAGACCCCATCTGGAGTTCTATACCTGGGCCTGGGGTGCTCAGCACAAGAAGGATTTTGGAGTGGGTCCAGAGGAAGGCACAAAGACAATGAGAGGGCTGAAACACCTCTCCTAAAGCTGAGGGAGCTAGGCTGGAGAAGGTTCCAGGGTGCCTTCCAGTATTTAAAGGGAGCTTATAAACATGAGGGAGATCAACATTTTACATAGGCAGATAGTGATAGGAAAAGGGGAATGGTTTTAAACCTTAAAACTATTAGTTTAAAAGGAAGAGGAGAGGAGAGACTGAGATTAAATGCCTGGGGAAAATTCTGTACTTGGAGAGTGCTGAGGCCTGGCAAAGGCTGCTCAGAGAAGCTGTAGGTGCCCCATCCCTGGAGGCCTTCAAGGCCAGGAGCTCGATGGGCCCATGAGCAGCCTGGTCTGGTGGGTGGCAACCAGCCCACAGCAGGGGGTTGGAACCAGATGGTCGTTAAGGTCCCTTCCAACCCAAGCCATTCTATAGATTGGAAGAAATGCAGTGTTGGAACAATATCAGAACAAATACTCTGTGCATGGTAGGATGCTTTTGATCTATTTCTACTGTTTTCATATATAAATGCATGTAACCTCATCAATATATTTGCATCCAGCAGATAAAGTTTCATATATAAAGTAACCAGATACAGCGTCCAGCACTTCACCACATCCTGTCATTTAATCTAGCTGGCATGGACACAAGCTCTTTTGATCTGTATTAACTGTCTTTATCTCAGTGTAGATCTCAGCCTCCCTATCTGTTACATTAAAAAAGCTTTAATCAAAGTGTTTAAGCCACTTTTATTGAATTATATTATTTTTCCTCCCAAAAACAAAGTTATAGAGCTCAGTTTCCTTCTTTCCACGTACTTTTACATCTGTATTTTGATTAGAAATGTTTTCAAAAGGGAAAAGAACCTCTGTTCAGTATGTTTAAAGCCATTCTAATTTAATTTGAGTGTAGAAAAAAAAGAAAAACATTTCCAGAACTTTTTATCTGAAAGGTGAGTCTAAGTTCACCTGGGCATAGGGTGCAACATACCATTGCCAAATCCAGCAGGCTGTATCAGAACATGGAAAATGTTGGAGGTTATACTTCTCTTCCACTGTCCTAAGTGCCACTGCTATAGTTTTGGGGTTTTAGTTCCTGAAGATGAGAGACTTCCCTGTGGGTTAGCCACAAAACTGTATTTCCCTTTTTATCCAATCTAGTGGCTGGGGCACAAATCTGACAGTCAGACATCTTCATCTTCCTATACATTTGCCTTGTAATAAATCACTGTAAATTCTTTCTTCCTGCCCTGCTTCCCTATTCCTTGCATGTATCTGATCTTTGTAGAATACAGGCAGAGTAAATTACCGTGAACATGCTGTTGAGCTGCCTGTGTTACCATTTAGCAAGTGCCTGTCTTCCGATGAGCCAAGGGAGATATCAGGTACTCACCCCTCTTGCACTCAGTGGCAAGTGCAGGTGGGCAGTCAGATGAGCAGACAGATGTCCATGCTTCACCTTACTCCTGCTACGCCCTCTTCTGGTAATTTACTGATCTGCCTACAGAACAGATTGCATGAATTAATTAGATTATATAACAAAGAAAGAGACCTAAAAATCATGAAATGCCTGGCCTAGATATTCCTTAATGTGGCTAAGGCTTTCAGACACAAGTGTACTCCATATACTAGTGTCTCTTAAGCTGGTCTGCATGTCCCAGCCTGGGATTTTACAAGGTATCTTTCAATATTCTGCTTTTTAATGACTTTGTCCATAAACTGACTTTAAACACAGTAGGCCAGTGTAGCAGAAATGCTGAGTCACAGCCTGAACCACTGATGGAGCACCTGATGGGAAGGCAGGGCCAACCAAAGGGAGGTCAGGTGCATGCAAAGCATCTGAATGGCTAGATGGGAGTAGAGCCTTTCCATTCTCATTTAAGGGATGGCAGTGGAAGCAAGAATGTTTTGCTAGAGATACTTGAGACCTTCTGAAGGGAGGAAGCATTTTTCCAAAGCTTTTTTCCTTTATTTCTGCACTAGTGAGTGTTGCACTTGAACAAATCCTCTCTTGCTGCAGCCTGGGACCTTGCTGCTCTGCTGTCATTGCTGTGCTTTTCATAGCGTTACAGCCAGGTAATTCAATTGTGAAATGGTTTGCAGGTCAGGTACCCAGGTGCAGACTAACTCATTTTTTGAAATAGATTAAAATGTGTTATTGTACTGTCTCAGACAAGCACACTTAATCAAACCCAACCTATGGGCTGACCAGAGGTACCACAACACTTCTCAACTTAGTTTCAAAATAGAATAGCTGTAATCTTACAGAATTAAATCTGATTTAAGTCTGAATTACTTTAGCATTTTCAGCACAGCTAGTGAACCTCTAGAGGTTTAAGATGTGGTTTGCCAGAATAAAAGTGATTTATTATGTTAGAAGGCTTTTTCAGTAGCATTATTTCCTGGGACTTTGAGTTGCCACAGCTGGTCTATACTTCAGGCTGTGGTGCTTAGCACGACACAGGCTTAAGTGCTTAGGCATCTCCTCTTGATATTTTTATCAAAATGCAAATAATCTGGAAAATTTAATTTCATCATAATTTTAGTGAGATGTATTTTGCTTTAAAATAATGTCCAAGGGAAGAACAGCTAGTAAATTGTGTTGTTCAAGCCACAGAAATACAACTGAGGACTCCACAGACGTTAGAGAGAGTAAAAGAGGTAACAAGAAGCTTTCTTTTAAAGAAAATCTGTGGGTCAATCCCTCTGAGGTGAAAAGTTGAGGCAATTTAATATTCTAGAATGTCAAGACTTTTAACAATAAACTGATAAAACATTAATGCTCATCTTAAACACTGCAAATATACCCATCTTAAGTATTAATAGTCCTGATAAGAATATTGGAAGTGACCCTGGAACAGAAATTCTTCTGCTCTCATGTAAGCATAATGGTTCCAGTGAGGTCAAGGCTATGGGATTTGGCATCCCTGCCTTCTCTGCAGAAATCAATATGTAGTGTATGTATAGTGAGTGAGATAAATCATAATAAAGGTCTAATTACATTAAAGATGCCTGTCACTTTGACTATTTTGGCAAAAGTATTTAGGATTGTTTTCTGTTGTTTTGGGAATTACAGAGAAAAATCAATAATCATTCATAGCCCTCTCAAATGAAATGGCTTCCATTAAGTTCTGGATGGCAGTATAGCTTTTCTTGGATACGTTTTTTTTATAGATATTCATACATCATAATCCACTTTCACAGTGGCACCAACATAAAACAACTCAATTACATACGCTGCATCTCAAATCAGACTTTGGCTGTGATAAATGCAAATCCTTAAGTCCTCATTCTCAGAAAAACAAACAAGTGAGACAGCCATTTTAGCAGAAAACAATTCTTACATACCTGGCAGTCTTTTTAGTGAACTGCATCAAGATATTCGAGAACTGACTATACTAAGTTCACACCAGTGAACTGAATAGAATCACAAATCTACAGCAGTTTGGAGCCTCTAACAGATGTATAACAAAAGTAATCCACTAGAAGGCGACAAAGAGCCACAGTGTATGATCATGAAAAAGTGGTTGAGTCCAGCCTGCTCTGCATTAATGCTGTACCTGGTTACAATCTTCTACAGTGTTGGTTGATCAGCGTGTGTTGTGTTTTCCTTTCATCTTGTGACTGAAACAAAATGTGGGGTTTAGGAAATATGACTCTTGCAGAAACTTCTTACCTAATGTTTGGTAAATCAATCTGTCTGTCAGCTTCCCTCTCTGGGTACCCAACCTGTGACATGTGCACACAGAGGTCAGAATGAGCTGATTGTGTACCAAATGTTTGGTGGGGTTTTATTTAGAAGTTCAAGCCTCGCTGTTTCTGTTACCCTTCAATCCGTTGCATTTTTAAATATTATACACAAAATCTCCTTTTGCATACAGTTTGCATAACTGTAGTTGTATACTAGGGAGAATGAATGAGATAATGAGGCTCTGTTCTTTATAAAGCGGTTGTGAAGTCAATGAAATGGATTCTATTATTGCCCTGAAATATTTGCAGACTTGCATTGCTTTTTCAGCCAGTTTTTGTTGAAACTGAAAACCTCCAGCATCTAAATCTCCTGGAGGTAAAAGAGATGACAAGATGTAAACCAGCACTGTGACTGAAGATCTTCAGATATGCTTCCAGCTAGGGGTAGGGAAAAAGACTTGTTTGCAGTTCATACTGATTTAATTAGAATAGACTCCTTCAAAAACCAGCCAACGAGAAGGAAGTTCATTTTTGTGATATTTTAAATTACGCTGCAGGCCCGAGAAGCACGCCGCAGGGCAATGAACCCCAAACACCTTGCACCGTTCCCCCAATTCCTTCCAGTTACAGAAAGCAGCGGGAGGGGGACCGACATTTTACGTGGTCTGATGGTGACAGGACAAGGGGGAACGGCTTTAAACCGAAAGAGGGGAGATTTAGACTAGACATCAGCAAGAAATTCTTTCCTCAGAGCGCGCTAAAGCGCGCAGCCCCCTCAAGCAGAGCCGCTCCAGCGGGGAAAGGCCGTGTGGTAACATCCGCCCTTCCCGCCCACTGGCGCCGACGTGACGTCATCACCGCGCGCCGAGGCAGGCCCCGCCCCTCGTCGCTTTTCCGCTCTCAGCACGCCTCCCGGCACGGCGCCGTGCGGCGAGCGGTGCTGCTGGCTCGGGCCCGTCAGCAGGGCCACGCTGCGGTAGTGGGGCTGAGGAAGGGGGAGTCGAGGCCTTCCTCCCTTCGGTATAAGCGTCATCACATCGCTGCGTGTGATTTAAGGACTTTTGGAGCCGCTGGGAGCAGCAGTTAGGGAACGAGGGCCTCTCACGTTCAGTGCGTTATCCCGGCCTCGTGTGTCTGTGGCAGAGGAGATGCGGAGGTGACGTTTGCAAAAAGGTCAGTATCGTAACTCTAAAACGCTAGAATTTCACGGCCTGGTGCCTGCAGGCTCGGTCAGGCGTTTTGTCCGTCACAGAGAGCAGGAGGTGGGGGTTATAGGCTGCCTTATTTGTGCACGTGCTTATTTCAAATGACACACCTGGAACCTGTGTGGGCCGAGAGCCACCGAGGCTTTCAGGCTGCTGTGAAGCACTATTAAATGGTTCACATTGATCTGCGATCCCAGACGCGTGAGTACTCCACGACTTCCCAAAGCTGAAATGCATGCAACACTGGTTCTGCTGGTGAGCACAGGCACGGTGGTGCATACCTAACTTCAGTTGTTGAGCGAGTGTGGGCTTTTCAGCTGAAGTCGTGCCCTGAGGGTGGCTGTACCCAGGCAGGTTGTGCTGTAGGCATAAACATGGGGTTCCTGTTAAGAGTTCTGGGTCATGGCAACCTATACTATCAATACAGTCTGAGATCCTACCTCTCTGCTCTGAGCTGAGACACCTCACCTGGAGCACTGTGTCCAGATATGGAATGCTCCAGGTGAGGTGAAGTGTGGGAGAGACATGGACCTGTTAGAGTGCATCCAAAGCATGGACACAGAATTGATCCCAGCGGTGGCACACCTCTCTGCAAGGACAGGCTGAGAGTTGGGGCTGTGCAGCCTGGAGAAGGGAAGGTTCTGAGGAGACCTGAGGGCAGCCTTTCAATATCTGATGGGGGGTTGTAAGAAGGAAGGGGACAGACTCTTCAGCAGGGTCTGTTCTGACAGGACAAGGAGAAATGGTTTCAAATTAAAAGAAGGTACATTTAGATTGGATGTAAGAAGAAAGATTTTACAATAAAGGTAGTGAGGCACTGGCACAGTTTGCCCAGCGTGGGGGTGGATGCTCTGTCCTTGGGTACATCCAAGGTCAGACTGGATGGAGCTCTGAGCTCCTGATTGAGCTGTAGGTGTCCCTGTTCATTGCGTGAGAGATGGACCAGATGACCTTTAAAGGTCCCTTCCAACTCAATGATTGTGTGGTGGTTCTATAAAATGGTGTTGGAATTCAAGGAATATCAAGAAATCAGTGTCTCTAGTAAGAAGAGCCTGATTTTTCAAAGAGGAGTTACAATTTGGATGTACAGGCTGTGGTTAAAACAGTTCAGGCTGTTTTGTTAACATGGTCAAGTAATGAACAGCCAAAAGTAGATTGGGATCACTGTTCAAATCAGCAGAAAAAGGAACTGCATAAAGTGTATATGTAGAAAATGAAACTCCAATGAAAGGAAGTATGTTTTTCATGGAATGTAGAACTAGTGGCCGGGGGAAATGAGTGGCAGCATGTGTTGGAAGAAGCAAGAAACTCCAGGGTTGAGTAGCTGCAGACGGGGCACTTGTTCATTTCTGTTTGTTGGGAATTTGGTAAGACAGAACTATTGACTGCAGTCACAAACTGGAAAAAAAAAAAAAAAAAAAAAACACAACCCAACAACATGGAAATACGGAGATACATTGTCAAAGTGGATGCAACTCAGTAAACTATACTAGGGGATAGTGTTTTGCTGTAGGAGTACTTGATACTCAGTGCAACCGGAAGTATGAGACCAGTCACACATTCAAATCTAACATCACTTGAAAGCCTGTCTTGAAATGAGCTGTCCTAACATAGTGTGAGAGCTTTTATGAACTAAGTGTCTCACTCAGAGGTGTTCTGGACATACACAAAGACAGCTGGTTTTATGGTTGTACTTGCTGATGGGAGTACTGACAGGTTGGAGCTGAACAAGAGCCAGTGTATATTGGATTTGTTTGGCAGAGGAAATGACTTTGTCATCGGCTCTAGAATCCAGCACAACTGATGACACTGTACAGAGAATAAAAATGTTTTGGGAATCATAGGGATCAAGTTGAAAGTTGGATATGTGGATAGGGTAGAAGTGAATAAGGGCCAGGATGGGATACTTGATTTCTGATCGTATCCCTGTGGGCTGAAGTGCAAGTGAGCCTTAAAAATATTATTCCCTTCCTTTAAGACAGAGTACTATAAACTTTGTAGATTCTCTGGGATTGAAGAGATTAAATCTCAGTAGCATCAGCAAGAACCTGGTGATGCCAGGTGTATTGCAGGGCTTTTCTGTGCACACTGGAGTACTGCCAGGAGCTTAGCTTTGGTGTCAGGATTAAAAGCAGTTGCTTGGCTGTTACCTATGTATAATATAGTGCAAAGGGTGCACTGAGTGACTACTGTGGCTTGAGTTGGGATATTTTTAAGGGAATTGCTTTTGCAAACAAGACTGTGAGTTGGTGTTTGAAGCACTGTAACTGTGCTTAGTAGATGCATTCTCCAGCTGCCCCAAGCTGCCTTGAAGAAACAGCTCTATGGGCACAGTGATAACTAGCAAATACCTAATTGCTTGTTATGCAGTTGTAGTGCTGAGCAGTCTTTGCTATGGACCAGAGCCTATGGTACTTACAGCTTTGCAAAAATGGAATAAAATGGATATCTCTGTCCAAAATAAAGTGATTTTGTAATTAAGACATTTGTAATTAAGAAGCTTTGTTGTGGTCTCTAGTAGCTTTAAATTTAAGATGTTTGTTCCATGTGTCTCGGTTGCTGTACAGCTGCAGCAGTGAATTAATGTTAGAGCAGAATAGACATCTGCCTTGCTTGTGTATAACCTACAGTCACTACAGGTTCTGATTCAGAACTTGAAAGGGGGAGGACGGTGCCAAATTTTAGATACTGGCAGAGATGGTTTGTCATACCCACATTGCTAATGCATTTGATTTGAATCTGAAAGCAGTTTACATACCCTGACTAAAAGTGTTTGGGTTTCTTTTGATTTTCTATACATAATCTATAGATATCAATGAAATCAAAGAAAATCTCATCTGTTTTTTTGTTAGGCAAATCATCTGGAAAAAAAAGTAAAAGATTGGAGCTCAGTTTGAAAACAAGGCCTTGTAGTGCTTAAAAAGGAGGTGAGAATTAGCAGGAAGTGCTAAGTGAGATGCAATATTAAACGCAGTGCTGGATGCTCAGGTTTTTTTTTTTTGTCTTCTTTTTACTTGTTACAAACTACTTCAAATAAATCATTTTTATCCTGAAAGTGCTGTTTTAATTCTGGGTGAAAATTACATGTGTGACACTGAACGTATTTTAATTCTGTCTTTTGAGGGTTCATGTTGCCATGTTGGTGTATACCTGTAGCTTCTGTTACTTTCCACATGCTTCTTCAGCAAAATCTCTCATTATGAACCCACAGCCTAATTAGAGTTTCTTTTTCAAAATAAGAGGGACAGTTTTGATGTCCAGGTGGGCAGGAGGGGTTGGTTGGTTTCTCTTTTTGAGCCAGCAGGCAACTGACTGCTGAGGCTTATCTTGGTTTTTGAGCCATAGGACTAAAAGGGAAACTTGTTCCTGGTAGACTGATGTCTTGAAGTCACACCACATTTGTTCACGTTTTTTGTTTCTCTCGATGTCCTCAATCAAAATTGGCCTTTTTTATTTCGTATTTATGGGTTCTGAACTTTCTTTTGCGTTCTCAAAATCAAAGGTTTTATAAAGTGCTGTCATTGCACAACCACAGATTATATGTTCACCACTGTGTTAATACTTGCTGATGATAATACATTCTTATCCTTATTTTCCTAAATTTTCCCAAGGCCTTACATTTGATCAGGAAATATTTTCATATCTGCACGTATCTGAATACTTGCAGTACTCTTACTTTTAAGTTGGATCTCTGTGGCAATAAAATGCAGTTGAAAGTCAGCAGATCCAACAAAAGAAATCAGTGTAGTAAACATCCACTCCTGGAACTGAATTTCTGCTCGTTCAACGTACATAGGGAAACACTTGCAGAACTTTGAGGAAATCTTGTTTGTGGTTTAATAACTGAAACATAACTATTGAGGGCAGTATAACCTTTAGACATATTTACAGAGTCGCTGATACGGTCTCAGTCCTTGCCTTTGTCATTCAGCAGGTGTGACTGTGCTGTGTGTGCTGGTTTTGGCAGAAACAGTTCTGTGGAGTTTCCGGTGTGCATGTTTTCTAACGCAGTATAAGTTTGTTCTTGTTGATTTAATACTATCAAAACTATCGTAGGCTGTTGACTGCTGCCTTATTGTTGGCATGTGCCAACGCTGTAACATATCCTGCTCAGAGATTAGTAATGCTGAAACAACAGTTTAATGAAAAGAGAGAGGGCCCTGCACAGCAGGAGGAGGAACTTTCTCTGGTTCCTGCTGAACTGCAAACACAAGTTTGACACATTCTCCCTCCTTCCTTGGCACAAGGAGCAGACTTAGGCTGACTGCTCTACCCTTCACTGCCTGTGTGCAGCCTTGTTCCAGTGATGGCTGACACACTTTTTTCCTTTCCTTGCTAATGAAGTGTCAAGTAAATACCTCATGTTATGTACCTCTGTCTGGTTCATGAGGCAGCAATTGTAGAAAAACTTATTTTGAGCTGTGTCTCTTTCATACTATCTGTATTCTTTCTCTGCCTCGTTTTTTAGGGTTACCTTGGAATACTGAGAGGAATGTAAAGTACGTTCTGGTGACTGCTTGTCCATGCGACTGCAGTGAAATAGCTTGAATTTTTATTAGTAACGTGCTCCTGCTGTAGGAGTTTGTTGCTGTTGTTTGGTTTTTTGTTTTTATCAGGGCAACCAGCATAGGAAAAAAAGAAGGAGAAAAGTTGGGATTTGTCAGCGTGTTCATGCACATTCATAAGATCATAGTAGGTAAATTACTGTAGGCAGCAGTAAACCCTGTTTTTGATTGTTGGATTGGACAACACTTCTCTCCCTGTATATGTAAGTATAGTAAATGCGTGCTGACACGACACATCTTCTAACCAGGCTTAACTGTGTTAACAGCTGGCAAAATCTAGTTTCTTCTGTAGCTTTAAATATTTTCTGTGCTGTGTTATAAGATTATCAGATAGCTGGTGGGCTCCCAGTCAGCCTAAGAAGGGTGATTGTAATGCAAGTAGCCAGGACAGAATGAAATGCAAACTATGCTATCATGAAGGATAGAAATAATTATATTGCTATGTGCCTTTCTGCAGGCAGTGTTTTGTAGGTTCAGCTTAGCTTTCTTGCTTGAGTATGCTGCAGCTGACTGAGTGGTATTTAGATGGTTTCAGTTACATGCTGGGGTAAGGAGGGGACCCTCAGTGTATAGTAACACATCTCCGACCAAGATGAAAACTCATCTGAATAGAATTATAACTCAACCATGTAAATAAAAGCAATGGAAATGGGCTTGTTAATCGGCTTTTCATGTTTTTGGAATTGCACTGATGTGGCTAAAAACTGGAGTTTAAGGCAGACCTGAGGAAAATAGTGCCACACTTTTGTTCCTATCAGTCTTCCACCTGTTTGGCCTCCAGGAGACAATATAACTAAGAAGAAAGCTCTCTCACGCAAACCATGTTCTTGCCTGGAAAAGGGAAAGATCAGATCTTTATCTAAAACAAACAGCAGTTATGTGACAGCTGTTTGCTGTTTCCTTGCAGTTTGTGCTGGCTGTGTGGCTTGGTGTTCAGAGATCAAACTTTAAAAGTGTGGTTTCTCCAACTAGCGCTCCCACCTTCTGCACTCAGCAGCTGGGAGTGAGATTCTCACGCTGACCCCAAGCAGAAGGGACAGCAGTGATCCAGATGCTCCCACTGTTCTTGATGCAGCCCTGCAAGCTAGCAGGAAAGCAATGTATTTCTTCTCTTAACATTAAAAAAAAAAATGTTGCTCAATCAGTAAAAGCTGTAGAAAATGATGCAGCTTTAAGTAACATCAGCTTTCCAAGATAATGTGTTTTATGATTGGAGAGGAATTAAAGATCTTGATTAGAAGCCAGTGACCAGATGGCTTGGCAGTAGCCATGCCCCGTTACTGCAAATGCTGGGATCAAAACCGGAGTGCTCTGGGATCATTCACATCTTTGCTGATCTCACAGTTGCTTCGCATGGATGTGTCTACAAGATTTGCATTCTGAAATCAAAATCAACTCAGCTTCATTACTGGTTGAGTTATATCCCAGATTAAAGTGGCCCACAGAGAATTCAGAGAACTGGTTGCAGAGTTCACAGGAAGCGTTTCTTGGACCAACTCTTAAATTTAAGATTGAGAGAGATAACTGACCCTGACATAACTGGGGCTGCATAACCACTCTGAAGCTGAAGTAATGTCTGTTCTTAGGATGGGCTGAAGCTATATCCCTAATTTTTGTATGTGTGCGATTGGTATACCTCTTTATGTACCGTGATTTACTAGATATTTAGAGCACTTTTAAGCAAGCAAATAATTTCCTTCTATCACAGACCATAAAAGTTAAATACTGCTTTGGGACTGGTACAAGAATAGGTATCACTTGTAATTCTCCTTCATGCTGTTTTGTACAGCAGTTGGGAGTTATCCCTGGAGCTATAGGATCTTTAACTGTGTTACTACTGATGCTGATTGCTGGAATTCTTCAGGAGGAGGTACTTTTTATAACATTTAATGAATAAATGCTAGTGGTTCCTATTTTAAAATAGTCTTTTGAATCTGCAGAGAGCGTTACTGATTTTGCTGCTTCTTTCTAGATGGAAATGGCAGAAGATATTAATGCAGAAGAATATCCCACTGAAATTCATGATTATCTTGCAACATTTGAAAAATCTCTTACTTCAGTAGATGAGATGTTGAAGACAATGATGTCAGTTTCTAGAAGTGAGCTTCTCCAGAAGGTAAATCATCTTCCTCTTGATAGCCTTTCTGTTAATAATACAGGGTCTGTTTGGCTAGCCACTGCACAGAGAAATAACAAATATTACACTTCCTACCTCTCACACCTAATATTTGAAACTTCTGCATTTGTAAGATACCCAGATGATGCTATGAACTAAGCGATGAAATGTATATTCTTAAAGGTGGAAAGTGAAGATTCTACCACTGAATCATTTGAGTAATGGGCTTCTGTCCTATATTTGACCTTCCCAAAAGTGCATGCTGAGTGCTCTTCCTAAGTAGAGAACTCATTCAAAGTTTTCCGTGGCCTTTTCACAACAAACATCACAGAAATGTGGTTGATGTAGAAGGATGTAAAGATGAATTAACAACATTGAGAATTGATCTCCTGTTGACTTGCAGAATCTGGGCCCCAAAAAACTGAGTTGTCTCTTCTAGCTATGTTGTAAGCACAAGCCTGTAAAGTTTGTGGGTGTGTTTGTTGTATTTTTTCCTCCCTCAGAACATAAAGACAGCAAAATACTGCCTAAAGATCTCATACAAGTCTGTCTGTCTTGTAACATTTAAAACCTTACACATATCTTCTTTCTTTAGGGCAAGGAAAAGCTAACATGAGAACGTTTTTTTTATCCTCTGAGGGTTTCTAACATAAATGAGTTATGAGGAAAACAGTCTTGACAACACTGATCTTTTGACAGTATCCATGTTAGAACTAGTGAGCTATACAATGATCTTATCAGAGTTTCTGGAAATCCTATAGGACTAAACCAATAAATTGACTTTGACAGTTGAGGGGAAAAAAACAACGCATTACCTTTATTCTTCCTTTGCTGGGCAGCTGTAAGTGTTCTAGCATGCATCAAATGCAATCTAATCCTATATGTTATGTTACATGTATATTAATGTTCATCACTCATTTGTAACATACTCATATCTGAGCTTCAATAATCCTGAGACATTCTTTTTTCTTCTGGTGATAGCAGAAACTATTTTGAAACTATTTTTTGTGAAAAAATAGGGTCTTCTTCCTGACTGCGGGAACAAGAGTCAAAGAGTTCCATGCTAAGAGATTTTGTTATTTTGGTCATATGGTACTGTGGCATTTAAGATCAAGTTGGGAAAATGACATGAATGTTTGGAGAGGAGGGTATGGTCCTGTGGTGGTAGGAAAACACGGGCTTCGTCTCAGTGAACCTGTGCTGTAAAAATATGCTAATTTAGTATGTATCTATGAATGCATAATGCACAGTTCAAAAATAGTCACATTGCTAAAATATGTGCACATCTTGAAAATGTGTAAATGATTTTTTCTCTTTTCATTCTAGTTAGAGCCTCTTGAGCAAGCAAAACTGGATTTGGTTTCAGCGTACACATTGAATTCAATGTTCTGGGGTAAGTATGTGATAGGAGGACAAGGTGCAGATGATCACTGTTTGAATGCTTTCTAGCTGCAAACATCAAATTTATTTTTCAAATGTGTTTCATAGCCAAGTAGGTAGAAACTGATGATTAGCTCTAAGGACTCAAATTGTTGCTATTCTTAAGGTAAATGATGTTGATAGTTAGAAAAGCTGGCTTTGTACATGCCTGAGAATCTTTGTGTTGTTTTTTTTTTCTTGGCAACCTTTTCTGTCCTTCTTAAAAGGGCAAAGTTTAACTGCATTATGTATTTTATATATTTATTTACTATATATATGTATTTTTAACAGCAATATTTGATAACAGTATTGCATCAGATACTTAACCGTGTGGTTAAACACCGTGATTAATAGTTTCATGTGGCAATTACAGTTTTCCTATATGACTGGTTAATTGGGCACTAAGTCATCACAGCCATCCATATCAAAACCACGTTTTTTTTCTTGTAGTATACTTGGCTACTCAGGGAATCAATCCAAAGGAACATCCAGTGAAACAGGAACTGGTAAGATTCTTACATTGCGTGCTTTCAATACTTTACTTGTCCAAGGCTGTTAACTCATATAGAAGTAGATGTATATTTATATCTACTTCTAAAATGGGCATATTGCCATAATAGCACACACATGCTACATAATATTACATAATTGCCTGTTAGTATGCCCTACTGGTTCTCTAAATTAAGAAATTCATATTTTTACTTCCAAACAGCGCAGTTTAAAGTATCATTTGTAGAGCCTACTGAAATAAGAAAAAGCAACAAGATGAATAGTGTCATCTTATCTTTCTGCTTCTCCATTTCTCTTTTTGAGAATTGAATTCTGAACAGAACAGCTTTTCACTTGTATCTGTTAAATAGAAAAATGTTACATGCCTGATGATGATTTATAACTTCCAGTATGGCATTTTTTTTTTCCTTAGGAATACTTGGAATCATGTTAATCTCTAAGGCTGCCTTTTTCTTACTTTTGTATGACTCTGAAAGTGTAGTGTGGTTGATTTACTAGCAAAGACGGGAAAGAGCCCCCCTTCTTCCAAGTCCTCCATTAATTCATTTTCTCAGCAGTAAAGAATCCAGTTCAGCAACAAAGCTAAAAGCTTTTTTGGCACCAGTTGTATGTGTATTGTCCAGTAATTCTGCATTAGTGACATATTTACAGCCTGTAATAAATCTTTTAGGTTTGTCTTTATATTCCATTTAGATTGCATGACTGCAGTACAGAAGGCATGGTATCTTGAAAATTCTGCTGACTTAAAATATCAAATCATTCAGCTTAAAGAAAAAAAAATAGATTTCAAAACTTAGAGCTACCCTTTTTAATTCTGGTATAAATGAAAACATTAAATCTAAGTAATCATAATATACTTCACTTAAATGTAATCCTTAGGTAACTGGAGCAATAGAAGATAGGACTGAAAGATGTGGAAAGCTAGGTTGAATAACAAGAATCCTTCTATTTTTAATTTTGTGAAGTTTTCAGTAGTCTAGACTGTATCACATTTAAAAAAATGGATCGGTTAATATTTCATGAACTTTCAGTCAGTTTCTTGTTCCTCCCATATTATATAGCATCTGAACATTGTGTTAATTTTGTTACACTAAAAATAAATTGTATCTCTTCTACTGTGGATATTTTATGCTGGTATTTTACTGCACGGTTGCCAGTTGTTTTAAATTTGAAGAATGAGTGACTTATTCTAGGCTAGATTCTTATCAGCTCTCTTTCCTTTCTTCCAGGAGCATTGTGATGTTCTTATTCATGTGGAAAGGGAATAAAAAGACTGTTCCATCATGATTGTTTTGTTCTTAGAATTGCTCCTTCTGTATGTACAGGGAGTATGTTAGGATTCAAATGATATTAATAAAACTCACATTCCAGCTATCAGAGTTAATTTCTTTTAGCATTCTGATATTAGTCAGCTGCTTCTTCCCATGTTGATGTATGTAGGTTTGCCACTTGTTCTCATTAACCATCTCAGTCACCAAAAAAAAATATCGCAGTCTATCGTGATTTCAGACCTTGAAAAGCACTCTTCATTAAAGCTGCATTTTTGATATGGCAAGATTATCCAATTTTTTTTGACAAATCAGTTGCTTGTAAGGGTCAGTGAAGAACTAAAAATCAGATCTGTATTGTAGGTCTTGTAGCTGATGTTTCAGATTCCAAAAGCTGTCTGTAGTTACGTGGGTTAGGTAATACCAGGATGTATCTAGTTATCAGTATCCATGAATGTCCTGTTAGTCTACTCCTGCAATTCATGCATTGGGTAAAGCATGATATATGTGCATCACGCATGCACGTAGTACTGTTTTTTATTGCATGTAGTACAGTAACACCTAAAGGCCCTACAGTTCAAGGCCACGTTGGGTGAAATATCTAGGTGTGAAATCTGTGAGCCAAACTTTTACGTGCTGTACAGAATTACAGCAAGTGTCCTCTCTACTGAGTGAAGAGAAGCAGGCACTTAACAGAAAGTGATTCCCATCTTAGAGGGTTTACGCTCTCAAAGTAATTTTCTTTATTGATTATAGAACTGGCTGAGGGTGAGCATGCACATAAATGAGATGGTTAAACTGGTGGGGATCTGTAGGTAAGGCTGAATCAAAGCCATGCTTTGTTCAACACATGAGACACTCAGTGACTATGGTAGGTGAAGGTGACAAGAAAGGAAGTATTTCCTCTCTTTAAAGAATGGCAGTGGAAACAGGCTTTTTTGATTGTTTATGGTCATAAAAAATATCTCTAGTACAGCTGGAAATTCATCAGGCTGCTTTGAATATGTCAAGGGAGACTTAGCAATGAGCCATTTCAGGATCTTGGCCACAGAGCTCTTGCATAGTTGCACGTTTAATGCCTGTGACTTTTTTACTTTTGTGTAAGATGCTTTATGCTGATTTCTTCTTCCTTCTTTTCTTCCCTCTCTTTCGTAGACAGTGAGTAGTGCAATTTTATAAATACATCATATCTAAATATTCATTTTGCCATCTTTATTGAGGCCAAACTGGATTTAATTTTTTTTTTTTAGCAACATTAAATCCAATTCTCTTATCTCACAGTCAGTTTGTAGGACTTTGTGTTCCTTTGGTGATGGATGTTATGCAAATATTAGTATGGTAGGTACCTGTGATGGAAAATCTGCTAAAAGGGAAGGCTCAAATTTGCAAAGAGCCTGGTATATATTTAGAAGATGCTATTTTTCTGTGTGTTATAGAAAGGTACCATGTGGAGTGCTCCTACTCATTGATTTTACTCTAGTGGTAAACTTGGAAGAATGGTTTGGGGGGGGGGGGAACCAACCCAACACAAAAACCCCGTGTGTGTGTGTGTGTGTGTGTGTATATATAAATATATATATTTTTTTTTTCTAGGAGAGAATAAGAACATACATGAACAAAGTCAAAGAAATAGCAGACAAGAAAAAGGCATCCAAACTCGATAAAGGAGCAGCTTCCAGATTTGTAAGGAATGCACTCTGGGAACCAAACCCTGAAAATGACCAAACTCCTGCTAAAGCAAAGAAGAGAAAGATGAACTAATTTTTTTTCCCCTTTATGTTATCAGAGACACCTAGAGTTATCAAAATGTGTTTTCTGCACTGTATGAGTCTCGCGGAAGTGCTGTACAGCAACATCTTGATTAAATTATACTTAAAACATTTTGCAGGGTTGTATTTTGTCCAGGATGCTCCTCTCTGAGGTAACTATGCACTGAGGTTTTAAAAAAAAAAAAAAAAAAAAAGCAGCATTGTATGTATATCTGTAAGTGCCATGTAATGCTCCAGAAATAATGTTTCATTATTAAAATGATAATGACTTGCCAAATACTTGTTGGTAATAGATACTGGTATTGCTTTGATTATAATGCCTAAGAGTTATTTTTTTTACTTATGTTTTTGTATGTACTTCATCTCTTGAATATTAAAACAGTCTCAAACAATTCTGTCCAGTTTGTGGTGTTCATGTAGAACCCATGTTTACTTTTTCATTACACCACTGAGTGAGTTCTTGTGTTCACAGAGTATTGTAAGGTTTATTCACTATATTGAACTGTTCTGTTTTCAGCTTCTGGAATAGCATGTATGCCATATTCCCTTACTTCTGTGGTCTCTGCAGAAACTGAGGTTCAAGGGCTGCAAGCAAAAAGCTTGAATTCCACTTTAAGCTCTAGTGTCTAATCTGTGCGGGGGGGGAACCACAACAGAAACAGCCCAAATGAGTGCTCTGTGGGGCCTGAACAAAGGAGCAGGCAGGGGACAGCAAACAGGAAACAGCACGTGCAGGAACTTGATTGGAATTTTGGCTGCAGTGTGCATCTCTTACTGCTGACTGAGATAAATTGCTGTGAGGTGGTAGGAGTGTGGTCATTGGTTGCTGTTTTTTCAGATCTTTGTTCTCGGGTACACTGAACTACTGCTCTGCCTTGCAAAATAGTCTCCTTCCCTCAAATGTGAAGTTTAGTTGTTTAGGGGAGGAAGTACGTTAATTCCTTTAGGAGAACCTAATAAATTCATTTTTCAGTACATTACAAAGCAAAACTCAATTATTAGTCCAAAAGCTGCTTTAAAAAGTAGGGGCAAGCTAATTCTGAAAGACAAATAAGCAATTTAGTTCACCAAAATGTCATTTGGGAAGCAGACTGCAGTCTTGGGAAATAGAGTAAAAGTCTGAATGGTTAAAAAAAATAAATCCAGTACTGCTATTATAGTACTGCAAGCTGAATGATTTACAGTGGATGGGTATTCTCTTCAGTGTTGTCCTGCATCATGCAATATGCAGAGCATGGATTAATTTCAGTGCTAAAATGAAGATTTTCTTGTCATTGACTATCTCAAAGTAAATATTTGAAAATAAAATAACTGTCAAGTTTAATAAACTCAAATAATTGTTGTATATCTCTGGAAACATTTTCAGTGACTGGTATGAGTTTACAGATTTTTTGTTTGTGATAAACTCTGAACAAACAAGAATTTCTTCATTCCAGTTCAAGCAATCCAGCTAAGGAGAGTTTGTTTCTATAGATGCTGATGCTGCTACCTGTCTTTGCTGTCTCAGATCTACGGGGCATCTCATGAGCATATACATCAAAAGTGCAAAAACGTCTGTCAGCTGAAAGGTAAGATGAGCATGCTTTATTTCTACAGGCCAATGTCACAGTTATGCAAAACAAAAGCACAGTTAGACTCGTGGGTCTTTTTCTTGAGATTAAGGTTAAAATTGTAGAAGACTTGAAGTGTGTTGTTCTGTATCTGTAAAATTATAACCTGACCTGTGAACTTTGTGTAGATGTTTTCATGTGTAAAGGTTCAAAACACTAGTCTCAAAAAAATATAATGTGAAGAACAGGTGCCCTGTGAATGAGTTAGTAAGACAACAGGATGTAAGTGGTATGAAGTAGCAGAAGCTACAAGTGTTTTAATGCAGAGACTTTTGAGGATATAATGTCTTATACTTTGACATACTTTTTCTGGAGGAAACAGGTAGATCAGCTTCTATTTATGTGCAGTACTGTTAATTAAAAGGGAATTGAAGGACGTTTCCATTACATGATTTTCCTCTTAAGCTTTAATTATAGCTTTTGTTTTAAAAGGTTAATTTCTGAAAAAGATCATAATTCAGTGTCCAGTAAAGTACACAGCTTTCATTGTTAAATGTTTAAACAAGAATAACGCAAGGATATTAGCGAAGAGTTACTGAAGTAGAAATCCATCTGGTATAATTAAGTATACACGTAATTGACATTTGTGATAGGAAAGTTCGTATACGTGTAGCAAATGCAACTTTGTAAATGCTTAAGGCTTGTGTGGCTGTTCTGATGACAAAGCCTGGGTTTGTGGGTTTTCTAATGCAAAGACAGTAACTCCAATGAATGCTCTAGAAACTGAGGATTATCACCATGTGTCTGTTACTGACCCACAGCCCTATTAGCAGCTTGACATCTCCCTGCATTACCTGGGTTCTGCTCCTAGAAAATACCCATCTTTCTCTAAGATAGCGTACTGTGACTGCAAACAAATGAGGATGCTTACTACAACTTTGATTTGCCCTCTTTTAAATTTAGTTGTGAGTTAGCAAGTCAACATATCACTGATGTTCATTTCTATTCCTCCAGTCTTTTTATTATTTGAGAACTGCATCCTCAAGAGTGGATATTTTATTATGTCATCCTAATTGCTCCTGGCCTTGAAAATCAATACTAGCATAAGGTCCTGTCAGAAAGTATTAATGTTCCTGTTTCATTGGAAATCTCCTCACAACATAGTTATCCGGAATGATAAAAGCTAAAGAAGGATCAAGTTATCTTGGAAATTTACTATAAAAATATTTACTATAGAATACTATAAAAAGAGAATTGTTTTTGGAATTCAGAGGAACACCAAAATCCATTTTTTTAATCTGCAGGGCTGAGACCATTACAAATGGAAAGAAAAAACTAGATTTCCATATGTAAAGAAGAGGCATTACTTTTGGAGTGACCAATGTAACATGACATACTTTGGCCAGGAGCTGATGAAGACCTCCTTCTGCAATCTCAGAAGAAGAGACCTTGTCTCATCATAAAGGCAGATGGTTGTGACAGGAAGGCTTTTAGGAGTTGAGAACAGCAAACTGTTCTCAAACCTGGAAGCACAAGTGGAGGTCCATTGATGTTAGTGATATTCTATGCAAAGTTCCTTCTGGCAAAATTTCCCTGAACTTTTGACTCAATTTACACAGGTTCTCTTCTACTGAAAGCAACTGCAAAACTCCCTCATACCTAGGAAAAACATCCTCTGATCTTCATCATTAAAATGTGATATGTGCCAAATTGGTTATCAAAATGGAACAGCTTTTGAGTGGAATGTCATTTTTCTATCATCAAACATGGCTGGCTAGTAACGTATAGCTGCTTTGGACAGTTAAAGTATACGGGAACAACAGCATACCTTTTTTAGGCAAATTGACTATTGGAAAAAACTAACACCAGCTAACATTTGAGTGATACGCAAAATCAGAATACAATCAGAGAAATAATCATGAGACTTGGCAGAGGTGTTCTGCTTCTTCTACAGAGTAAGTCTGGCAAACTTCTACCCAAAGAGCTGTTCTAGTTTAAAATAATTGAAATTGGTTGCATCTCCACCTTGTCTTTTTCCTAAACTGAGATGTAAAGATGCTAAAGTAGGGCGTTTGTTAAAATTATTTATATATGATTCTTCGTTAAAAATTTACTCAGCAGGGATAAAAACAACAACAAACCAACACATTAGGCTACAGTAATTTAAGAGGAATAATGAGTAATTAAAGCAGTTTATCATTTTAGAATCAACTATAACATGCTAGGAAAAAATGTATTCGTGTTCTTCAACATGACACTGTCATTTCTGCTTACTTGCTTGAGTGATATTCCTTGCATTGTGCTCCAGAGTCTACATGAATGCATTTGTTTTGAGGATCGTCTGATCATCCTTAATGTTAACTTTGTGTTTTGTTTTTAAATTTAATACTTCCTGCATTCCAATATGATGCACCTGAAATATTTTACTGATACTCCTAACAATTTGCCTTTTTGCTGACTTTTATCCTTCCTTGCAGAATTACAGATCTGTGGAATGTGTAGTGGTGGTGATCTAAGAAGCAGACCTTGAACAACTCAGTTTTTATCGTCTGCACCAAAGGGAAAAGAGAGAAAGCTTGTTTTTACTACTAAGCTGAGTGAATATGGTGTGGAAATCTTGTAATGGCAAAGTATCAATTTTGTAAAGTGATATATTTCAGAGGGGATACTAAATTTGACTGTGAATAAAAAGCTTTATAAATGGAACATTTAAGAGGCTATCTTTTACTTTTCAGTGTAAGGTTGCCTTGACATGCATCATTTCAATTTGGCAGTCCCAGCAAATGGATGGAAGCAGTTCAATATGCTAATTCAGTACTGCCAAGAGGCTTCTTCTTAGTCTAGTGTGGACACATTCCATGGAGGGATTTAAAGACTATATTAAGTGATAGAAAATGGGTCTAATTCTGTTCCAGTTTTACACCGGTACAATCTTGATTTCAAAGGTACTTTGGCTATCTTAAGTACATCAACAAAATCACTTCCAAACTAAGGATCCTCTGAAATTCATGGTGATACATCTTGCACAGCAGTAATTCAGCACACGTAGAAAGAGAAATGGAGTCTAGCTGTGCTTAAAAATGAAATCTTTTAAAGCAGCAGTTCTAGGGGCAAATTCCTTGCTATGTTTTACCAGGATATTCAGATAAACTAAATGAACATTTACTGAATCACACAAGCAAAGTTGTCTGAAAAAGCAATAGTCTTTGATATCCTCTCATTTAATACGACTGTTCACTTTCATACATGTGTTTCAAATTGTATTTTCCTGTTTTCTAGAAGGTTTGTTATTCGCCATTTGAGTGTTTTTTTCACCTCATGGGAACGAATTTGTCATTGCTTAAATGCACAAAGTTACTGTCACCATTATTAAAAGGTGAGCAAGAGAAATGCCTAGTAACAATCATTGTCAAGGTGGACAATATAAACAGTCTTTTTAATTTGTTGCCATGGGCTAACAAACATGCTCCCCAGCTCACACACAAGACAAAACATGTTTTCTTGTGCAATGTTTCCATGGAGAGAGCATTTCCTCAAGGCAGTTAATCTCATGAGATGCTGTCTGCGTATGAATACAGTACACATCCACCAGAATGTTATGTACCTCCTCGAAGGGCAAGCA